TTTTCTTTTCTTTTCTTTTCTTTTCTTTTCTTTTCTTTTCTTTTCTTTTCTTTCTTTCTTTCTTTCTTTCTTTCTTTCTTTCTTTCTTCTCTTTCTCTCTCTCTTTCTTTACTTCTTTCCTTTTTTTTTGTCTTTTGTTTTTTTGAGACAAGTTCTCATTTGTAGCCCAGGCTGGTCTCCAGTGGGCAGTGATCCTTCTGTCTCAGCCTCCCGAGTGCTGGGATTACAGGTGTGCACCACCATGTCCAGCTAATTAGGGTCTTTCATTTTTTTGCCCATATAGCTGCCTTTTTTACTTTTATTGTGATAGGTTTGAATAAATAAGAGGGTTCACACGGGTTAATTAAAAAAGGACAGGTTGCCGGGGCGTGGTGGTGCATGCCTGTAATCCCAGCACCCGGGGGGCTGAGGGAGGAGGATTTTTGGGAGTTCGAGACCAGCCTGGGTGACAAAGTGAGTTCAAGACCAGCCTGAACTGCATATCGAGACCCTTCTCAAAAAGACAAAAAAATAAATAAAAATAAAAACAACCAAAAAAAAAAAGGACAGGGCTTTTTGCTGCGTGGCTGTGAAACAGCAGCTCCCTGTGCTCACCGTGGGTGGTGTAAGATCACCGTCCCCTCCCCACTTCCTGGCAGTCTTGGTCAGCGCTCCACCCACCCAGGGAGGGCTCCTTTGGGGTCACTTCTCTTGGCTTACTCAGTCATTCCTAATGTCATTTGCGGGACTGCTGGGGCAGATTCTTGGAATTCTGGGAGGTCCTGGGAATCAAACTCAGGACCCTGCGCTTGCCAGGCAGGCACTTGTGCTGCTGAGCTATATCCCAAGCCCTTGGGGAGGTCCATCCTGACCTGCCTGGTTTAGGCAGGAGCAAGACCCTTGTGTTCTTGCTGACCGAGTGGAACCCTGAACTCCAGGGACTTTTTAAGTTTTTGTTTGTTTGTTTTTTGTCTTTCTGAGACAGGGTCTCCCTATGCAGTTCAGGTTGGCCTTGAGCTCACTTGTAGCCCAGGCTGGCCTCGAACTCCCAGTGATCCTCCTGCCTCAGCCTCCCGAGTGCTGGGATTACAGGCATGTGCCATGACGCCCGGTTTTTTAAATTGTTTTCATGATTGTCGGTTCTTTGGAGGGGAGGGAAACGGGTGAAATTTCCTTCCACCTTGCCGTGTCGCTGTGTGTGGGAAGGGTGACAGCTGTGTCGCCCCTCACAGCCCACCCCTGCACACTGCGTCACTCAGGTGACAGCCCCAGAGTACAGTCCCCGTGGCCACCGTCCCTGACATACTCCTGCTCCGCTGAGGCTGTACATCTGGGCTCGGGCACCCACCACTGCTGGGGCTCTGGGTCTCACACTCTGTGTTCTCGTCCAGATCGGTCTCCCCTACATACCTAGTACAAACCCCGAGGCCGGCCCTCTGCTGCAGAACTCTGGACCCACCACGTTCGTATGAACCGAGCACCAGGAGGTACCGAGTCCCCTTCTGTGGTGACATTTCGACCAAGGACATTGAGGGTGCACAGACGTTTGGGCTCTCAGAGTCGTGACAGGCCTGAATGTTGCCTGTACGGGGCCGCTGGTCACACCCTGCAGGAAGGCGGAAGCCGAGCAGCGGGAGCTGAGCAGGTCCGCGCGGCCGTGCCCAGGCAGCTGGACTCCCGGGTCCTCGCGGGCTGGACACCGCTCCCCACCGCCGCCCGCTGCTCCTAGGGGTGCACTGGCTCAGGCCCTCGCCACGTGCTCCCCGACCCCGTGAGGGTTTTACGCGGGGCCTGCGCATCCGCAGGAGACGCGGGTGTGAATTCAAACAGTTTCACCGGGCGCGAGCCTTCGCAGGGAGGTGGCCGCAGATGCACTCGGAGCTAGCACGCCTGCTGGGCAGCCAGGGGGCAAGGACAAGTGAGCTACGGTACCGCCTACAATCCCAGTGCTCTGGGAGGCCAAGGCCAGAGGATCACAAGGTAAAACTCAGCCTGGACAAGTTAGCAATTTAGCAAGGCTCTGTTTCAAAATAAAAAGGGGCTGGGACGCAGCTCTTTGTGAAAGCCCTGGCCCGGTCCCCAGCACGACTAACAAACAAACAGCAATGAATTGTGAGGAGGTGGCACGGTGGGTTAGGCTATTTGGGCCTATAAGTGGCTGGGAAGGCTAGAGAGTAGCCTAGTAAAGTCTGCTCAGATTTTCCCCAGCCGCAACTTCCTGTCCTTGGTGAGGAGAGAGCTACTTTCCTTCTGGAGCAGGGGACATCATTTGTGTGCAGCTTTCGTTTGCTGCTTTTCTGTGGGGTGGTTCTAGAGATTGAACCCAGGGCTTTGCCCACTCTAGGCAAGTTCTCCACCACCAAGCTACATCCCCCAGGCCTCTCTATTTTTTAATATTTGTTTTGTTTTGTTTTTGCAATTTATTTATTTATTTTTTTTCCGGTACTGGCAATCGAACTCACGATGTTGCTCTTGCCAGGCAGGTGCTGGGCCGCTGAGCTAAATCCCCAGCCCCAATGAAATTTTTGTTTGTTTTTTGTTTTTTGTTTTTTTTCCAGTACCGGGAATCGAACACATGGCCTTGCGCTTGCCAGGCAGGCGCTGTGCCGCTGAGCTAAATGCCCAGCCCCTGTTTTTGCAATTTAGACAGGGGCTGGCCTTGAACTCACAGCAATCCTCCTGCCTCCCGAGTGCTGGGATTGCAGGTGTGCGCCACTGCGACTGGGTTCATCTCCAGCTCCTGAGAAACAAGGAGGGTGGGGGGGGTGTTCTCACACCCACTGTCTTTTCAGCACCTGTCACTCAAAATGGTGAATAGGCCAGAGCCCCATGTTTTGGGCACGTGTCCTGACTTCATCCCTCAGCAGCTCACAGGGCCTTGTCTCTCCCCAGGCAAAGGGGAGCTTCACTGTGTGATGAGCAGGGCCACTGTTGGGGGAGGCACAGTTTAGCCTGGCTCCCCCTTCCCCAAGGGGAAGGGACAGCTACATTTTGTTGGGGTGCAGTGTTCTGTTCATGGCAAATGATCGTGACATACCTGGAGGTGACGTTAATTGAATCAGTAAGGTGAAACGGTCATGGAAGTGAAGATATTACGTTCAAACTCTCCTGTCAACTTCATTGCATTAAGAAACGCCGGGCAGATGAGCAGAGCTCATGCCTAAGTGTGGTCTTGGGTGCTGCATGTGGTCGCTCAACCCACCCACTCTGGCACTGTTCCTCTGCTCTGCTTCCTGCCACCTTGGAGCAAGCAGCTTTGCTCTGATTGTTCCCTCCTGCGTGAGGCTTTGGCCTTGGGGCCAGGTGACCATGGACTGAATCCCCTGAAACCAGGAGTGAGATGAAGCCTCTCCTCCCTGAGGCTGTGGGTGCTGGGTGCTGTGTCTCAGTAATGGGAAGAGTGGCCAACGCACTGCTCATATGTTTATGACCAACAACTGCTGGTTCTTCTTTCCATTACTGTTGCCTGACAGAAGCAGTGCTATGCGACTTTGCTCAGGGTTGTATCGCAAACTCGGATTTGTGTTCGTACCGCATTGAGAAGTTCCTTTTTCCCCTTAAAAACATCCACGTTGTAAATGGTGAGAAGAACAATCAGCAGGCCACTGGGAGTTCCAGACCAGAGCTTGCCCCAAGGAGCGCTCCCGCTCCCCTCGCTTGCTGCGGCTCTCCCATCCCTGGGACAGCACCTGGCACGGTGCACAGCTGTTGCCTGAAGATGGAAAAGTGGCCTGGGAGGCTCACAAAGCAACGATAGCAAAACCACTAACCCTGGGAGTGCCTTCCCGCCCCAAGAACAAGTTTCCGGGCTTTGAACTCAGAAACCAGCCGGGCGTGGTGGTGCACGCCTGTAACCTGAGCACTCGGGAGGCTGAGGCAGGAGGATGGTTGAGTTCAAGGCCAGCCTGGGCTATAGAGTGAGCTCAAGGCCAGCCTGAGTGATGTGGTAAGATCCTGTCTCAAAAGGACCAATAAATAAATTTTTTAAAAAACCATTTTTTTTAAAAAAAAAGATAGTTTATAAGATTAGGGTATGCAATTTCTCTGTTTTTCAAACCAATCCTGTTTCAGAATAAATCTTCCTTCCACCCTCTTTATCTCTCTCTCTGCTCCCCCCAAATATATCCCACTAATGTTGTACAAATGTCCAAACCTCTGGTTTAATGCAACCCTCCCTCCCTCCTCCAGAAAGTGGGAAAAACAGTGGGCTAGGTGTGTTTGGAGTGAGGGCGAGTTTTTGAGCGGGATTACTGGTAATGTGTCTCCTACTATAATATGTTCTTATTTAAATACACCATTTTTTTGATCAGTCCTTGCAGATATCACAGATGTTCAAGGTCTAAAGAAATAGTCAGATAGAAAGTACGTCCGTCATCAAAAATGTAAAACCAAAATAAATATAAACTGAGTGTAGGGTGTACTCCTGGAGCTGCTAGAGATCCTGTGGGCATTTAGGGTCATCTCCTTCTCAGAGCAGCGTAAGGGAAAGATGAAACTCACTACTGGGAAAGAGTCAGAACCTTGCTTCCCTGTGCTGTGTGGGTTTCCAGGTTTTTGCTTTTGCTGTGGATATAGCTCAGTGGTACATGTTCTAGGCCCTCAGTTTAATCTCTAGCTCAAACAAACAAATGAAATAAAAAAATTAATTTTAATTAAATTTGGCTGGGCATAGTACACACGCCTGTAATCCTGGCACTCAGAAGGCTGAGGCAGGAGGATC